AGCTCACAATCTACAAACAAACTAGGCAGACCAGAAAACAGAGAAGACAATTGACACCGCAAGAAAATATTCTAGCCAAACCCCATCAAGTGCAGAGCAATACAATAAACAAGTCACAGCTATTAAAGGCACAAGTTTTAGACGCAGTGATATCCTCATCAGAGCACCAACAGCACTACTTTAAAGCAATCCATCAACAACCTCCAGCTAGGAGCATGATGAAATAAACAACACCTCGGGGACTGAAATTAAGGCACTAACCACTTTGGGGCGTTTGGTTATCCATGGATTCTGACAGAGCTTTCTCCTCTTCACTAAGCCGATATTCATAGTACTTATAATCAGAACAACTTTGATCGAACAAAAACCTGCAAGAATGGCCAGGCCAAGATATATTAATTGCACCAGAAAATCCGATGAAACATGTGATAAGCACTTCATTCAGTTTTACCCCAAATCATTTCAGTAACTATTAACAATTCAACACAAATCATGCCATCACCACACACTGACAAAATTTCAATGTCCTTTCATTCTGTCACTTGAGGACAATATCTATCATACCAAAAAGAGTGTACCGCTAAAGTTCATTGCAACTACATTAAAACATGCCCCAGGCCATCTTTATAGGTAAGTAGGTAGGGAACCACTTGGACCGACTAATTGGGAATGTACTTTTGACCACCTGTTAAACTTGGGAAAAATAATTTACTAATACAGCACCCAAGAATTCAAGGAAACGTACACTTAAAAAGATTTTCAAAGTTTCCCTCTAATATTGATGTAGACCATCTTGACAAGCTAGAACTAATCAGCTTAAGAGTATGTATGTGCAGAAAACTGCACTTTTAGGAGCTATGAGAAGGGGATCTCTACAGTACCATTTGAGACCACACACTTATTTTGCTTGGAAAAGGGAATGTTAACAAGTATCTGCCCATATACAAATAGGAGTCAATCAGGCTCTCTCAAATCTCAATCCCCTCATTTCTGTTAGTTACAAAAATCATCGAGTTACTAAAGGTCTGGGAGATTAAAAACAAGTATAAATAAGAAAGAAAGAGCAATCATGGAAAAGAGTAGATAAGAAAAAGGACCAAAAAAAGAAACACAAGTAAATAAACAAATAAATGAACAAAAGGACCAAACATACGCATAAGCCACAAAATTTCTTATCCAGAGAACATTCTGCACTCTGAACAACTACCAGCAAATTGCAGAAGTAAAACACATACTTAAAGGGAGTGTCTCCAGGATTTTTTTGACGTGTAATATGTTCAAACTGCCTCCCATTCTTAGCCACAAAACTTGCTAGTTTGTCTGCAACTTTCTTCACTGTAGGATCACTTGGGGAAGGTGGTGCTGCATGCACTTAAAGAACTGGTTAATACCAAGAGCATGAACAAGTGAATGTAAATTACTCTTGTAGCAGGCTTGCCACATTTTCCAAATCTTTCATTGAACATCCCTTTCCGGCAATGTTGATATGGGATTATAGTATACACTGCATTCATCAGATAAGAATAATTCAAGAATGTTTTGTCCCTTTCATGACTACTTCATGCCTAGACAATTTTGAAAAGGTAGGGCAAGGGCGACAATCAAGCTAGCATTGTGCAATATGAGCGTATTGTCTAAAAGCTGCCACAATGACTTATAGTATATCAGCCCAGCCCAGAGACAAAGAATTTGAAGTATCAGACTGGTACAGACATTACAACCCAGTCAAAGGGAAAAAGAGATCTGTAAAACTGCATGAGGAAGAAAAAACACTAGATAGGAACAAAGCAGAGGGCCTAGAATATTTAACACATGGATATTACTATGCAACAGGGGAGATAAGTAAGCAAAGCGGCCAGCCTAGTGAAAAGAGCATCCAACAGTCAAAAACCTTAGCTGAGAATGATAAAATGTAAGCAATTGTGCAAAATCAATATATATTTATGGTATAGCGTAACAAAATACTCTACAGGACACTAAACCAATCCATCAAGGAGCAGTTCCCTCAACATGTAAGTCTACCATGTTGAAATCCTAATATCAGGCAAGACATCCGTCTTCACTAAGAATATTGATCCTTGTCAATGTCTGTGGATTTGAAATCTTATGGGTAGCAAGTCATGCCCAATATCAACAAGAAGGGCCAAAAAGGGAAGCATCATGCATCACAATTATCTATGCTTCTCTCTGCTAGAGCAAAGCACTTCAGTGCATTGCTAGTTAAATTTGTGCAGAATCCTGCTATATTTTTAGCCCTGAATAAACCAGATGAAAAGAAAGGAATTACCAACATCAACTTGTCTGGATGATTGCTGAAAAGCGTCAGGCTCACCCAACTTCTGCCGCTTTACTGGTCCATCATCAGATGGATTTCCGGCTTCTGTTTTTTCTTCATCCTCATCTTCACCTAACTTAACAGGGGGTGCCACAAGTTTCGATTTTTGTTTCAAGCTGAACGCAAGCTTACCACTTGAAGCAGCTTGAGAAGTTTTACGAGAATCATTTGCCTTAATACTCATCATTGGTTTACCAATGACAAGCTTAGGTGTTGAAGTTCCTGATAGATTTGGGCCTGATTTAAGTTGCTCTACTGGCACAAGTTTCTCTTTTTCCTTCTGCTCCTTCTCCTGTTGAAGCTGCTTGAATCTCTCCATGAATGAACCATCATTAACAAACAGACTAGATTCTTTTCCCTTCTCCATTAGCAAAAAACCAGGTTTCTTTCCTGCTGTTTTACAAACTGCTTGACAAGCAAGCTTACAAGCTATTCAGCAAAAGAATAGATAGTTCATCTTTGCATAAATATTTATTTAGTGCAGTCTCATGATGTCAATTTAAATGCTACCCAAATCAGCAGAACAAAGTGTTAAATGACAGTATAGACCGTTTGGCAACCTTGTTAGTTCCAGCAAAATACCAGAGTAGTTAGAGATTCCAATATCATTCAAAGCCATATGGTTACATACTTTCAGTTGCTCAGTATAAAGTATAATTCTTCTAACTATCAAAGCCACATAAATAAATTAGAATCTCCAAGGCAACATTTCCAACAATTAGAACCCCATTTTGTATCAAATTAATATCCGATACAAAAATTTTAAAACCAAATGCATACATACAAGTGTTGGATATAATTTTGGTAAAGACATGCAGGCATTTCAAGGACTACCATGGAAACATATAAGTTAGCCTTGATACAATCTTGAAGAAGCCGTTAATTACTCTGCGCTAGGTCCTGTTCATTTCCATCTCAAAAATTCCCATTGTCACCCAAAAACAAAAAATGAGAAACATGGGTAATAGACATCTTTAAATCATCATACATACAACTAGCCTTTACTGTCCCCCAAAATTATCCAATCTTTCATCCACTGATTCAGCTCCAAACAGAAAAACAAATTCTCAAAAAATAAAAAATCAAAATCAAAAAGAAAAAGAAAAATCCAACATTTATATACCCTTATAATTTTATTTTTTTAAAGAAACAATTCATTGCTCAAATTGCCACATAATCCTCAAAGATTTCTACTTTTTCCCCACTTATTTGGCCAGATAAATAATCACAGCCCATCAAACTACAAATCAAAAGCTCCAATATTACCAAGACTATAACGAAAAACCAAAAAGGAATGCCAATTATTAAAAAACCAAACAGAGATCGATCAAGGAGCATTGAGGTTAACAATTTCAAACCCTAAAACTCTAATCAATTTCATCAAAGAAACTAATGAAAATCTCAAAAAGAAAAAACAAATTTAAGATACTTTCCGTCATAATCGTCAAAATTACCTACCTGATTAAGAAATTCGATTGTCAATCGGAACCCTAAATCGAAGCAGAAATATATAGATTTATTAACAGATATATATCTATATATATATATATGTACATATTCTTCGTACCTCAATTTTTTCTGAGGAGAAAAATGTCAGCCAGGTCTCTGTAGAACAACGGTGCCGGTGAATAGAACTCACGTGATTTCGATTGCGCAGCATGCTTATATAGGAACTGAATTTGCAAGCCCGGTCCTTGGAGTTTCTTTTATTTCTGTTTTCTACATATATATTGTTGATATTTAGTTTTTACTGACATATTTTTAAAAAGAACTTTCACTTAAAATCTCAATAAAAAATTTACGATTTTGATATACTTGATTTATTTCAATCACGTTAGTGTTATGAAAGATTTTACTAACTTAAAGCCTTAAAACTTTTTCCCCCATTTTGTTTTAATCTTTCATAGATTTAAAGGGACAAATATTTGATAAGAACTTTGAAAACCAAAAAAAATTATAAACTCCATCAATATTTCTTTTTTTTTTTACCTATTTATGATATTGGAAAACTTTTTCCATTTCTAGACAATGAATAATGTATATGAAATTAAACTATTTGTGCTTGTTATTCAGTTCAAGAACAAAATTTTAATTTCTTTCTCCACTAACTTAGAGTAAATTTTCACGCCATCAACATCTTTTGTAATTATTTAAGTGATTTAAAAATGTGTAACTTTTCATTTCTAATCCATAAAAAAGACGCTACCAAATTAAAAATAAATATTCACCTAGTCAAATCAAAACTTCGATAACCACTTCTTAATTGGTGAGCAAAATGCTGCCATTGAAAGAATACAAAAAAAAAAATTTATTTTTCAAAGTTATATTCAATAGACAATATGCTCTTTGAAGAAAACCTCTGAAGAAGCTATCAAAAGTTAACCAAAATTTGAAAATGGATCGTACTAATTATTATCATGACAATTCTTAATTCTATGTGACAAATATATAAAGTTTTTTTTTGGACCTAAAATACAGAAAAAACGAAGGTGCCTCGTACACAACTAATACATATATCCTAATTAATCAAATACCTCAACCGTCAACACAGTGTCCTTCCTGAATTTGGGCTTCAAATCAAATGTTCCCTTTTCCACGAAATTGTGTATGTGAAATTAAAATGGGGTAAAAGTTAACCCATTTCAAAATCTTGGGAATTTTTCAGATTTACTAGTCTAGGCTCTAGGCTCTAGGCATATTCTAGTCTTCTTCCTTGCTGATAAACCAAAGCATCAGGCAACACAGTCCACTTCTGGAAATGAACTCCAAAACAATAAACATAACAATAAGTCCACCGTCCAATTTCCGCTACAATGCTCCAATCTTGCATCCCTTTTTCTATTTTCCACGGACAAAGCCTAAATTCCAAGTTTTCCTCTATTCGCGTTCTCATTCAATCTCCTCTAAAAGTACGTTTAGAAACAGAAAAAGCGTATTTTGTTTAGTTTTAGTAGAACCCATTTTGTTACTTTCGAAATTGATTTTGTTAGTTCTACTGTAGTACTAATTTTCTTTAAAATTTTGCATAGCTGAAAGGGGTGGTGTGAAAGCTTTGCCTAGTGGAGCTGGGGAGGCCGTCAATGAAGTTTCCCAGAATAGACTTATTCAAGTCGTGTTGGTTTCTCCTCAGGTACTACTTGATCTCAAAACGACCGTTTCTAATTCGTTACTACAATATTCAAGAAATTCTTGCATATTAAAAGGGACCCCTCCACAACCCCCCCCCCCTCCCGCGGGGGAAAAATCTGCTAATATGTTGCTTTTTAGTACCGTTGTTCAAAGTTTCCTTTTTTTTTCTTTTGGGTGTGGGGGGTGAGGGTGGAGTTGAGGCGGTGGGAGGGGCTTGATATCCCAGGGTGCAGAGGAAAATTAGTCTTATTTTTTCTGAACTGAAGAATAATCATTTGACTACATTTTCTGTTGCTTTTCTATTAAGGGCATGTTCTTGTTCCTAGCAATGTCCTGGGTGCTTGCATCTTTTATTCCGAGCAATTTCTTTCATATAGAAATCCACCGTCACATATGAGAATCAGGACGGCAATGTTCAACTTTTCGTTGGAAAGGTTAAATTTTTGTTGTTTCACTTTGCCATTGGGTTGATAGCCCGCGGTTGGATGGCATGTCCGCGTACGAGTTCTGGAATACTTCTCCTGGCTTACCCCACTTCTAGATTACTAAAGAGAAGATAGCAATAAAAAAAAAAGGCTGGATTTTTGTTAAACTATGCGTGCTCATCCACACAATTATAGGCTTGGAAAACACATGGAAACGTTCAGGCAATAGACATCATACGAACTATCATGCACACACAACCACATTCCCACACCATCAAATGTATATGGAAGATGAAATGCAAGAAGAAAGTGCATGATAGAACACAGGAGTATGAAATGTAGAAGCAAGATAGAAACGCAACAGCAATTTACTGGAAGGAATACAGAAATTACCAGTTTTGCAACTATAAATATAGTTTAATACTAAGGCTAGATTACTAAAGAGAAGATAGCAATAAAAAAAAAAGGCTGGATTTTTGTTAAACTATGCGTGCTCATCCACACAACCACAGGCTTAGAAAACACATGGAAATGTTCAGGCAATAGACATCATACGAACTATCATGCACACATAACCACACTCCCACACCATCAAACGTATATGTGAGATGAAATGCAAGAAGAAAGTGCATGATAGAACACAGGAGTATGAAATGTAGAAGCAAGATAGAAACACAACAGCAATTTACTGGAAGGAATACAGAAATCACCAGTTTGGCACCTATAAATATGGCTTAATACTAAGGCTAGAAACCACAAAGAGCTAAAGCAAATTAAGGTAAAGGTTGAGACTAGAAGGTAGAGAGTGATTTGAAGATAGAGAGAGGGCAGAGAAAAAATGGCAGACAGGGAGAGCAACAATAATGGGGGAGTGGGAAGCAAAGGTAAACCTGCTAGCATATTTCCTGCAAAGAAGAAGTCGGTGACGGGAATGGCTGTTAAGAAAGTGGCTGAAATTGTTTCTGGACCTTGCAAGAAGAAGAAGATAGAGCCTAGAGGTGATGGTGATGATTCCGCTTCAAACTAATGCATTGAAGTGGCAGTGGACAAGAGAAAATTAAGTTTTTAGTTATTTCTCATGGAATAGGTTTCCTGTTAGTAAATAAGGATGTTCTATAGTTAAAAGGATTGTATTTGTTCAAGTTTAGTGTGTTTGTAAGAACTTTGTCATGTGATTATGGGCTGTAGAATTGTATTAGTTGTGATGTAAGTGAATAAAGATTGTGAATCATGTGTACTTTTCTTGCAAGTTGTTGTATCAACAGTTATACTTCTCATCTTTGAGTGAACTGCTCGATGTTTTCCAACTGTTCAGCTTCTAGCTTATGGAAAGAATTTTGATCTACATGCTTCAAGTGTTTTTTTTTTTTTTTTAACAAGCAGGACTAAACAACAGGCAGTCAAAAAGCAATGAATACTAAAGAAACAGTCTGTTTATGGGTTTTTCATCCAAATATTGATACATGTATTGGAAATTATTGGAAGAGGGATGGCTTTGGTTTACTTTTACTCCTGACGATGAGAAGGGCTTCTGAGGTGGTCTTTATGTTGACAGTGGTGGTGAAGAGGGAGTTATTGGGGGTGAAAGAGGCTGGAGGATACATGCCATGCTTTCTGCTTTAGTCTTCCCTCTTGATGTATGCATAAAAACTTGATGGAGAAGGGGGGGGGGTGTGCAGAAGAGCAGTTGTTGGGAAATTTTTTGAATCCACATAATGTGAACAAAAATGTAAGTCATTGCACAGAAAAGATAACGGAAAATAACCTAGAACCAAGAAGTGACAATAAAAAACAAAGGAAAGATAAAGTGGTGTAAAAGGAAAGAAGTAATCAGGGCTAGCAGCCAAGGGCCTTTAGGGAGGCAAAGAAATATACCTTTTATTATCCAAACCTCAAACTTATACAAATATTAGTGGTACATATTAAGATTGGAAGTGGATCGGCAAACTTTGGACTTGTGCTTAGCCGACTTAACAAAGCATCAACAAAAAGAAAACAAACTGCTTAAGAAAGCTAAGTAGCTGGCTAAAACATGCTAAGGAGATAACTTATCCAATTGACTTCCTTAGTGATCACATGCCAACCTCCCCTTCTACCAATTATATTTTGACACATAAACTAACAAAGTAATGAAGCTTGGTTTAAATAGATATTCTAAAATCAAACCAAGCTCTTTATCAGAATTATGTCCAATGCCATCTCAAGTAACGATCTAAATGGAAAACTCTGTCGCGCTGTGGGTGATGAGTAACTCTAATCTAATTCTAATCCTCTAATCTAATTCTGATGAAGTGCTTGGTTTCAGGAAGGTAATGTTAGAATATTTTGTAAACCAAGCTTCATTATTTTGTCTATTTAGTTTGTGTGTCAAAAAGTATATTTGTAGATGGGGAGCTTGGCTTGCAATCACTTTGGAAGTCAATTGGATAAGTTGTATCCTTAATATGTTTTAGTCAGCTACTTAGCTTTCTTAAGCAGTTTGTTTGTTTTCTTTGTGTTGAAGTTTTGTTAAGTTGGTTAACCACAAGTCCAAAGTTGCCAACACAATTCCTGTATAAATATGTGCTACTACTATTTGTGTAAGTTTTCAGATTTGGAGAGTAAAAAATAGTCCTTTTGCCTCCCAAAAGACCCTTGGCTGCTAGTTCTCATTACTTCTTTCCTTTTGCACCACTTTATCATTTACTTGATTTTTATTGTCACTTCTTGTTCATAGTTTACTTTCCCTCATCTTTCTTGTCCCTTGATTTATTCGTTTGTTCAATTTATGTGGATTTAGAAATTTTCCAACGGACAGAGTTTGGTAAAAAAAGCACAACGGGGAAGAAGGAACAACAACAAAGAAGAATAGGAAGTCAATTTCTAGACTTATTTTGGGAACAAATAATCCATTTATTTATACATATAAACTAAGTTGTCTTTAAATGATGATGCTGCATGACTGCAGCAGGCAGTCCTTTCTTTTATTCTGACCTGGGACTTTGAGATGCATATATCCAAGAAATAAGCAGAGTAGAGCTTATTTGCCTTTTTGTGCGTGATTCTTGGAGATGTTCTAGCAATAAGACTTTCATAGATTATTTATTGTATTTTCGTTGGTGATATATTGGGTTATTATTTGGAATGTAAATGTTCCAGCAAATAAGATTATGGTAGATGAGTTATTAATTTTTCCTCTGTAATGCTGTTTGTGGATTTGTCTCACCGTATTGCATGTTGTACTGGCAGAGAGTCCATCCTTTTCAGCATGGGCTGTATCTTGACTGATTTTGATATTTTGTGATCGTGATGGACAGATACCTGGAAACACTGGGTGCATAGCCAGAACTTGTGCAGCATCAGCAGTTGGACTACATCTGGTTGAGGTATCCATTAATGTTGTTTTTTTTTTCTCTAAATTTCTTTTCCACACAACATATCAGAAAATGTTGCTTTCATCCACACAGTTTCGGTTCTCCAAATTTGATAATATTACTAGTTCTTCTTTTTCAGCCATTGGGGTTTCAGGTTGATGATACAAAATTAAAACGTGCTGGACTTGATTATTGGCCGTATCCTTCTGGAGTTTACAATAATGCAATGCCTGTGTTTCAACTGAATGTTACACAGATACAATTCCTGACTATAGATGTTTTTCTCTTGTTCACCTTCTTTCATGTTGTCTTAATTAGCATTATCCACATCTTACCCCAATAAGTTTCGAGTCTCAGGCTTGACTTCTGCAATCAGCAAACTATGCCTTATTGAATCTTTGCATCTGCAGTAACATTTCCATATTCTTTTGTCTTTCATGATTGTTTTGTGCTTTAGTTGTAGGATTTAAATTACAATTTGTAATACTCAAATTTGGAGAAATGTTGAAACCTTGATATTTCATCAGATATGTAGTTGTTAAAGTGCATGGCTCATGGGGAGAATTCCGTGACTATTTCAGTCAACAGGTTATATAGCTCCTTGAATTTTATGCACTCTTTTCTATACTTTAGATTAAGGTGCATTTACTTTCTCAGAATGGGGAAAAAAGGCTGCTAGCATTTACTAAGAGAGGAGCTACTGTTCATTCTGTGAGTGCTTTTATCCTGTTAATAATTTATCAATTTTAAGAACTTGACTGTTCATTCAGTGACTTGGTGCTTCATTTTGTCCATGACTTTGTTTAAGTTTCATTTCTCATGACATCATTTTGCATCTTTTGGTTTGGTAAAACACAGGGCACTGAAAAGTGAAAACTTTCTTGGCTTCTTGAAATCGTAGAAATCTCTATAATATATTGCATCATTGCTAAATGTGGTGATTGAATGTACAGTTTTGAAATTGTGTCCCATTGCTCTCACAGCTTTGACTTTTCTTCAGTTCTCCCCCCCCCTTTTTAGTAAATATAAATAAATGACAAAATTAACATGGAGAGCTTGATGGAATGCATCATGAGTTATCAGTTAACTATTGATTTTGTTTAAAAGCGAATTTAGGGCATAAATTTGAAGCAAAGTGAAGTGATCATTGGCTTTTCTGTTGTAAAAGTTGCTTACTCTATAAGTCCCTTAGCTGTGTTTTTATCTGGCAGATCATAGTATTTAATTAGTGTTCATGGGTTGGCTTGTCTTAAAAGACTCTACAATAATACAGTCCTGTGAGGGAGTTTTAGATATGTCAAGCGTGGAGTTTATGTTCAGGACCATATCTCAATCTCATGTTTATGCATTTGCCTAAATTCCCTAACATGAAATATTTTCCAAACTAATAAATGCTTGTGCTTTCTAAAGTCCTGATTCTTAAGTTCGTATATTGCATGCCTTAAATCTGTGGTATTTCTTAAGATGTCAATTGAAGTAGAAAATGGGGAGTGGATGTGGTGATATACACATACTGGACATCTCCACTAGACCTGCTTCACAATTTTCCTATTGTTCAAAAATTTTCGTCTGATTTCTTGCAATTTCAAATTCATGCAAGTCTTTAAAAATAGTTCTCTGTCTCAAACTATTAGCAAAGACTAAATAGTACTTATTAGCCCTCTAACAGTGTTACCATTTCGAGTCACCGCATACAGCTCTCTATCTGATTTTAGCAAATGTTTTAGTTTTCTCACAATCTTATTTTAGAAAGCAATCAAGATTTCATTTCTCTAAGTTCACATCTTACCAGATTTCACTTGGCACGATTACCTACAGTTTATGACTTTAAAATCCTTCTAGGAGGAAGGGTTGTTTGCATGTTGCTTATACCTCTTTTTGTGAATATTTTCCTCCCAATGAAATCTGTTTTAGTGTTCAATCCAAGGGGAGTTGGATATTGAAACCTGCTCCTTCTTAATGTGATTTGTCCAGAATTTGATTTATATTGGTGCAGGAAGTTTCTTATAGGAAGGGCGATTGGCTTGTATTTGGCTCAGAAACCAGTGGCCTGCCGCCTGAAGCCCTTCTTGATTGTAAGACAGAACCACATGGTGGTGGTGCTATACGAATCCCCATGGTTGAAACATACGTTAGATGTCTCAATTTGTCTGTGAGTGTTGGCATCGCATTGTACGAAGCATCTAGACAGCTAAATTATGAGCAACTTCAATGTCCATCAGAACCTTATATGGACACTGAATCATCATTTGTTACTGAAGACATTTTTGCTTGAGCTGGTACTAACTTTGACAAATTGGTCAGTTAGTTAAACTTGAGGACAGGTCGAACACTTTAACGATTCTAAAAGCTAACTTTGCAGTTACAGATGATGCTGCAGTCAAACATATGTTTTTGCTCTTGCACAAGATTATTTGGAGCTGGGATCATTTCTCCTCAAAGATGGTAGAACACTTGACACATCATGATTAGTGGTGACAATTAGTTATACAAATTTGTAGGTCTAGTTCCTGTACTTAGTCAGGGTTCTTAATTTTTCTTTCAACTTCGGTTCTCTTTGGCTTTCCCTTCGGGCGTGTTTTGCCAGCGTTCTCTTGCATGAACGCAGTCATCACAGGATCAAACTCTTAATATTACTAAGCGGCGCATCTCTTTTTGCTGGAAATTCTTGTGAGCTAGGAATGGATATGGATGTGTACCACTGGAATCCCTTCATCTGTATTCAATGGAGTTTATTTTTAAGAATTAGAGATTGCTTTTACTCTGGCGTTTAAGATGATGTTGTTGTGTATTGTTCTTGTGTAATGCAATTATTGCTCTTATTATTTAAAAGGTTGAAAACCAAGAGATTCACAAATTTGTCTAATTCTTTTGATGTAATGGTATCCGTGTGTCTACTTGTCCTGACATAAGTAAGCTGGGCTCTTTGTAGTTATCTAAATGATCAGTAGCCAGAAGTGAAAGGCACCCTGTCCTTGTACCAAGGGCGTCCAGGCCAACTAACCTTAGCTTTTTGTATATCCAGACAACAAAGTCCCACTCCCATGTTCTCCACAGTGGCTGGTTCTTTTCACCTTGAGAAAGTGCATATGAGATTGTTCAGTTAGTTGTACTGGATCTGCAACTTGTTTGGAAAAATGAGATAAAGGAATTTGTTACCTGACCTGTGTTTTTTATTTGTCTAAGAAGATCCCCTGTTAATAAGTTCCACTTCTATGGCCAGAGGGATACCACAGCAGTGATATACATACTTAAAATCTCTACCACATGCTTCCCCAGATTAGCTCTTCAAATGTGGTTTGTCAAAACAGAAAACTCTCTCAAATTCCTGGAGATTATCCTGTAAACTGACAAGATCAAAGCCATAGTTTCATTATGACCGCAAATTTGCTGCTAGTGGGCTTGTAGAGTAAATGCACATTCAATTCTGTCAAGCTTCTCTATGAAATTCCATCAACATCACATGTCACATATGACAGTGTTGTGGACCCTTTTGTACTCCTCCATTCATGTAATTGGATGTAGTATCATGCTTGAGTTGATTCCTATTAAAAGTTTTCCAAAAATGAATGCTAGTATAGTGAATATGTCTAAGAAGTCAGCTTGCTGAGAGTATGTGTTACCTGTGGACTAGAAAATGTGTAAAAGGATGAGGAAAAAATGTTCAAAATCCTTTTGTTTGTTGGCATGCGTGATAGAACAATTAGAATCTCTTTTAAACATAATAAGTTAAACATGACTATTTTAATCTTTTCCTCTTTCCCTCTCATCTTCTCCAACTTCTTTCTTTCTTCTCAAAGGCCTTCGTTTCAAGGTCTCCTTCCCATGATTTCATCTTTTTTTTTTTTTTAAATAAAATCTCACCTAAATTTTTTTAAAGAGAGTTTTCTGTTTTTCCTTGAGGTTGCTAGTGAGAATTTTCTTTTCTCCTATAGGTTTCTATGGAGATTTTTAGATTCTTTTTTCGCTTGTTTTGTTGTTAGATAAAAATTTATTTCAGGTAAAAATTTTCTGGATCTTGGATTCATTTCAACAAATCTAATCATTAATATTTTGGAGTTTAAAATCATTGATTAACAGATCTGGCGATTGCAACATGCATAAAATGAAACTTTGTACATTTCAAACCTTTCAAAACTTTTTAGATTGATTGCGTTTGCTAATTTTTAGATAGATTTTAACCTGTCATTTGGATAGTGACGCATATGACGCCACCGCGAGTTGACTCGTGCAGTCCTAATCTATTGTTTGTTTACATCCTAAGTATTATAACTAAGTACAAATTTAGCTTTGATAAATCTTCATGAAAGAGTAATTTCACGTGAGCGACGCCGTATAGTCCCCACTTACAACCTGAAAACGCCACAACATGAATTGAGATACCAGTACCACCATTTGCCCCCTTTATTCTTCTTTTTGGGGCAATAGCACTTGCCTGATTAATAATGCAATTCGATTTCCTTTTGTCTTGACATTATAAATTTCAGTTTAGACAAGTAAAATCGTACTTTTGAGGTGCAAAAGGGACTCTTGAGATTTTATTACTAATGAAGTTATGACAATTCTAAATTGTCTTGTCAAAGTTAAAAGTTTACACGACAAATTTAGTGTAGATAAATACAAAGCAAGTCTTGAGTCGCTAGATATAATTTTCCTAATGGTGTGTTATAAATGAAAAAAGGGATTTGTGAGTCATTCCCTCGGAATTTATAAGTCATGCCCTCAATACCTATTTTGTCTTTCCAACCTAAGTAATATTTTGACAACTTTGAAAATGAAACCAATTTTCACTAACATCTAGTTTGGGAGTTTAGGATAGAAAAGAAAAGAAGGGAAAGCTTAAGTTCGGAAAGAAAAGAAAAACGAGATTTAGTTTGATGTTGTTTACAAGTTTAGAAAAGAAATGAAATGATATTGGATACATATGTCAATAAAATTTTGTTCAATAGACATCTAGGAATAAAAATGATAGTTTAAAAGATTTTATAAAGTTTGGTTCAACTTTTTTTAAAAAATTTTTCAACTATTATTGTCAAAGTGATCCATCTAGGGATGTCAACGGGTCGGATTCGGATCGGAATTGAAAATTCCGGATCCGGACCTTTTTTATGTAGCAAATCCGAACCCAACCCGTATATCAAACGGCTCTTCACCTTGGAGTCTCGGAACTGGATCCGATGGGTCTGGGTTGGATCGGGTTGGGGGTCTAAAAGGTTCAAATTTAAATGTTTCAAAATTAAATCTAAAACCAATCACAAATCCAATCTCCAAACTTAAACAAATCAAATTACAAAACTAAATCAGAAATAACTCGCAATAGTCAATCCAAAACTAACCACAAATCAATTTACAAAGTCATTTTCAAATTGTTAATTTGGTAAAAGAATGTATTTAGAAATATTTATATTTTATAATTATTAATATATTGTTCGGATCCTGATCGAATACGGGTTGGAATCCTAGTCGAATATGGGTCGGAATCTTATATTTCGTATTCGACCCATTTTTATTAGAATAAACGGATCCGAATTCGGATCTGAGTATCGAAATTATTTTTTAACCCAAACTCGGAAAAATTTATTGGATCTGGGTCGGGGTCCGAGTCCAAATCCGATCCGTTGACACCCCCAAATCCATCCAAATCTTTCTATTTCCTTTCTTTTCCGTCGCTTCACAACTTCCGAACATATCTTCTCTCACTTTCTTTTATTTTCTCATCAAATCTAAGCTGCCAAACTAAGCCTAAAGTACCAAAATGACGGCAATCAAAAATCAATACATAGTAGCAAGATGTTGAAGACAGGCAGAGGAGGTTGAGCAATAAATTCTCGGAAAAAGAGACCACAAATTCGGTCACACCTAGAGCCATGCAAAACGCGTAGACACCTACTCCGCCGTTCCGCTTATTGTGAAAGTCGGTCTCTACAGCACGCGACTCTAGCACATTTCTTGCGGGTAACTCCACCCAATTCATGGGTTCATCTGCCACTAATTATTCTCCATCAACTATAGCACATTTTAATCATTAGTTGGAAATTTGGAATTGGCGGCTCATATCTGGTTTTTGATGGTACACATATGAAATTTGGAATTGTCCCACTAACTAGTCAGCATCCGGAGCCTTAGTGGCCTCGTTCCCATGAGCCCTCTTGTAGGTCAGGCTTGCACACATGAAAAATAATTGAAGAACGATTAAATGGGAAAGGATTTTCTTGTAAGCATCTTCAAGGCTAGTAAATAATCCATATGCATATTAGTTCTATCTATAGGTAATTAGGTAGGCTTTACGCAAATGAAAGTAGACGCATAATATAAGGTTGTTTTTCTAAAGGGTGGGGCTAAATTGACACCACTCTAGTCTAAATTCACACCTTTTACACCAAAATGTCTATAAATCCCATTCTATTTACTAGGATTTCATAGGAACTTTTTCAATACCAAAACTAATCTTTTGTGGTGGGAAAAGATGGCACCAATTAAGTTTATTGTGTCCTTTCATCATCCCTATTTCTGACCTTCTGATATTCATGAACTATAGTAGCAACTATTATCATCAATTGGAGAATTTCGAACTACTAGTTCCAAGTGAATATGAAATCATTGCCATGATCATCATTTGTTTTTTATTATCAATAGATGTTTGAAAATCAAGTATCACTCTTCAATTTTGATCCTGAAATTTTTGTTTTTTATTATCAATGATATTTTTTTTTTGTAAATTTTTGCTATGCTCTAGTATATTTTAGTTGATGATGATAGTTGTTACTATAAGTCTTCAGTATTGGAATGAAAGGATAGGGGACGATAAAAGGATGCAGTAAAGTAGAGGAAAAGATGAACTTGATTGGCTCCATCCACCACAAAAGGTTAGTTTTGATATTGAAGAAATTCCTATGAAATCCTGACAAATAATGTGGGCTTTATAGACATTTTGGTGTAAAGTGTGGGATTTACACTAGAGGGGTGTGAATTTAGCCCCACTCTTTTCTAAAGAGATTATAAAATTTGTATCACAAATTAAACTTTCTTATGTATTTTGGTTTCTATTCAGGTTTGACGAAAAAATGCAATGAGTTCTAGTGTTATGCTTTCTAGTTTGCTTTTTATCCTTGGATCTTCCTCAAAAGTATATATAGAAAAAAAAAAGAGAGAATATAATGATCTCAATTACAAAGCAAGGAAAGGTATTTTTATGATTAATGACTAGTATTAATTTGGAATTTATTGTTAGTATGTTTTACGAGTAGATACATATTGGTTTATAAAATGTATCAATACACTAATAAAATTTCGTTATCCAAAATCAATTCCTACTGGACTATTTTAGCATTTTATGTAATAAAACTTTTCTTTTTATAAGGAAACGAAAATTAGATCATCAAGTAACAAAGTGACTCAAAACACTAATGCGAAACCTCTATATTTTATTTAGTGACGGGATTAATTCGTAAAAATAAATGAAAAAAATTTACAAATGTTACTAATCGGATTTCTTTACCTCGATCATAGAATTGGTTGCATTTGGATTTAACTTATTACTCCACGGTCAATTACGTGCCATGTGATCTGATCTGTGAAAAGGACACATCATATGCACTGCAAATCGTAGCAAGCTTATTGTCTTTGGAATGCCTAACCTAACAAATGAACAGTGTGGTGCTTGTGAATTGCCAAGTACTTTTAGGTATTTGTATCCAAATTAATAAATCTATGCATAGGGTTGTAAATGAGTCTAATAAAGCCAAACGCTTAATTATTATTTGCTGAATCAACCTCAAACGAATTTGTCAAACACTTGTGTATTATTTGCTGAATCAACCTTAAACGAATTTTTATCGAGATGAACTCCAGTCGAGT